GTGTGTGTGTGTGTGTGTGTGTGTGTGTGTGTGTGTGTGTGTGTGTGCACATGCACTGTTTCAGCCTGAGAAGACTTCACCACAGAAACCTGTTTTTCATTCACTGGTTAATTTACGCATGTTCTCGCGTCGTCTTTCTATAGAAAAAACACTTTTATTTTACTACTTTGTTTATCTGCGTCTGTAGAACATCTTCACATTGATACGGTTCCTCTTTAGGAGCGCGTGGGGCAGCAGAACGTCTTCACGTCGATACGGTTCCTCTTTAGGAACGCGTGGGGCAGCAGAACGTCTTCACGTCGATACGGTTCCTCTTTAGGAACGCGTGGGGCAGCAGAACGTCTCCACGTCGATACGGTTCCTCTTTAGGAACGCGTGGAGCAGCAGAACGTCTTCACGTTGATACGTCAGTTTGTTTCCAGTTAAAGCAGCTGGAACAGAAACCCATCAGATCTCCATGTAAACCAATTAGCAACAAGTAATCAAGGAACCTCTGAAGCTCATTAGGGGGTTGTTTACCCAGTGTATGTGTGTGTGTGTGTGTGTGTGTGTGTGTGTGTGTGTGTGTGTGTGTGATTGTTTATTCTGTTAAAGAATTAACTGATTTATTCAGAGTCTCAGTTCTAACAAACACAAAGGAGGACGGATGACAGACAGAAAGACGAGGAGCGTCTCGTCGCCATGTTTTCTCAGCACAAAAGGTGTAAAAACCAACATAGGAACCAGTCCAGACTCTTCCTCCTCCTCTTCATCATGTCTCCATAAGTGTGATGAAATAATAACTCCAGGTTTGTCTCTCAGCTGACTGAATAAAGCTTTACTTTAACAACTGGAATAAGAATCATGAACAAAACAAAAGATCAGGAGCGTTTTAACTTTGACTTTCTGTCTGAGTGTCTGCCGCCTCGGGTGTGTTGGATCTATCCTCCTGTCCGTCCCTCTCTGCTGCACGTGTGTGTGTGTGTGTGTGTGTGTGTGTGTGTGTGTGTGTGTGTGTGAGAAGCAGCAGAGAAGGAAATTAAACCCTGAGTGGCCCGGGTCCAAGATGGCCGCCACGCCCTAGTAGCCGTGGCGATGGAGGGCTGCTAATGAGCGCGCTCGGCCATCGGGTTCACGTCTGTTTGAGACGTTTGCTGTTTGTTTGTCTGTTAAACATCTCATCTTTGGACACATTAAAGAACTGTGGTGTCCAAACACCCTGAATGGTTTCCTGTGTATTCTGTGGTAAATGAAGGGTTAATTAAATGTATTTTTAAGGGATTGTTGTGTTTTACTGCTGAAGGAAATATAAAATACCAAATGTGGCACCAGTTCCTCAAAGGTTTCTCACTTCTGTGATGGTGAATTCAACATCTCTCAGCAGGTTCACTTCATAGTAGATGGTTGCAGCCTGACAGTCAGACTGTTCTCCTGTGATGGAATGATACGACTTTACTCAGAGCAAAGAGCACAAACTACAACAACTACTGTGAGAAGCCTTTATGTTTGTGTCTCTTTGTGGTTGTTTTTGTCTCTTTGTGGTTGTTTTAAGCTCTTTTATCTCTTTGTTGTGGTTGTGTCTTTTTCTAGTGTTTTTGTGCTCTTCATAGCAGCAGAACGTCCAAAACCTTAAAACTGAACAAAGATAGAGAGAGAGGTGTCTGTAATTAGAGCACTACTGTTAACTCAGCAACACGACACACACTGTAACACACACACACACACACAAACTCCCCGATGACCTGGTGTGTCCAGGTTCAGGACTGTGTCGCTGATTCAGGACTTTACCTTTTCCTCTTTTGTGTGTGTGTGTGTGTGTGTGTGTGTGTGTGTTACAGTGTGTGTGTGTTCAGGTGCAGTCAGCTCTTTGTTCTGTCTCGTCAGGCTTTTAATGAAGCTCACAGATTAAACACAGAGTGAAGTCAGGTGTGTGTGTGTTGAGGGTCCTCAGTGAGTTAATTATCTCTCTTCAAACCTCTGAGACTTCCTGTCTTTATTTCTTCTCTCCATCTTTTCTTGTTTCTTCTTTTTGTCATCTCAGACAAGTTCGGAACAAAGACGTTAAAGACGCTAACGACGCTAAAGGCGATAACAACGATAAAGATGTTAAAGACAATAAAGACGCTAAAGACAATAAAGAAGCTAACTACGATAAAGACTATGACGACGATGAAGACTATAATGACGATAAGAACTTTAACGACGATAAACGACGACGACGATAAAGACGATGACGACGATAAAGGGGATGACGACGATGAAGACGATAATGATGATAAGAACTTTAACGACGATAACGACATTAACGAAGATAGTGACGATAAAGACGCTAACGACGCAAAAGACATTAAAGACGATGACGACGATAAAGACACTAAAGACGATAAAGACACTAAAGACGATGACGACACTAAAGACGATGACGACGATAAAGACGATAAAGGCGACGATGACGATAAAGACGATAATGATGATTGCGATGATGAAATCATCCGGGCGTTTTATGTTTTATCAGAATAAATATACCTGGATCTCAATGAGGCTTCAGCCTTTTTTTAAAAGTTAAAACACATCAGAACACTGTGTGTGTGAAGGCGATCATATGACTGTACTGCCAGTTTAGCTGCTACACACACACACACACACACACACACACACACACACACGCAGTAACCTTTAATAGTGTTAGTGTTCTCAACAGTGTGTGGTCACATTGAACCTGTCAACTCCTGGTGTGTGTGTGTGTGTGTGTGTGTGTGTGTGTGTGTGTGTGTGTGTG